TGTGTGTGTGTGTGTGAGAGAGAGAGAGAGAGAGAGAGAGAGAGAGAGAGAGAGAGAGAGAGAGAGAGAGAGAGAGAGAGAGAGAGAGAGAGTTACCTACCTGGTTGACGATGCTGGAGGATGTGCTGTTGAGCGCTTGGTGACTCAGCTACTTATCTTCATCATATGATCTTGCGCTTTTGAGCCCTTGGTGACATGAACTCTGGCTTTGTATAATAAGACCATTCATTGGAGTTTTTGAGCTCTGGATTACGGTGTGGATTTTGTGTGTACTCTCATGGTGCATGTACTTGTAGTTACAATATAAGTGGTCCATTGCATTTCAATGATTCTCAGTGTATTGATTAACCAGTGGTGGACATACATCCTTTTCTTTGTCCTTTAGTCGTGCTCTTATCACAATGCGACTGTTTGTGAGGGTGTGCGAGGGAGTGGGAGGCGAGGGAGTAAGAGGGATGACTCACTTGCACAACCACGTACACTCATTGCCACTTGATCAGGGCAGCACACCGCACAGAACAATGGTTTGAGGCCAGGGAAACCCAAGTTAAGGTGTACAATGCATCAATGTCTGTGTTTAAGGTTCAGATCTGTACCTAGCTTCAAACCAGGGACTAAGCTGAAACCCTTTCGTGGGAAGACCGTGGTGGTTCTCTGGAATAGGGCAGGGGGGTGCCCTTCCCCATCTCTTCTTTTGCAGGGGGGTCACAGGTCCTCTGGATCAACTTCCCACGGACACCACACAGGCCCACAGATTGATTCTCAGGGCAGGTAGGCCCTCCCCTCTCTCCCCCAAGTGCACACCGTAGAGCAATGTGCCTCACAAATCGCACGTTCGACATCGTAACAAAGTTCTTGCACATGCATGCGTATGCTTTTGCCAATTGGTGCCACAGCACGCTAGGGCCACATAGGCCTGAGTTCACCCAGGACCACGTTGATCAACACCATGATCACAGTGCAATCCTGGTTGTCCAGAGATCACAGTGCAATCCAGGTTGTCGCACCCCATCTGAATGGACAAGACTTTGCTGCACTTTTTTCTGTATAACCAAGAGGATTAGGACAATGGATAGATCAAATCATCAAACTGATATATGCTGGTACAGCCTACGGGGAAGGATTTGCTGGCGAAATATAAACAGCCCCAAGCCCCAAGGTTCAAGGTTCGATCGTTGATTGTCACGGCTAGGGTGCTCAGCAAGCCTACTGTTTTCCCCAGAACACAACACCTGGTCATTATAGCTGCATTTCGTGCAACTTTCAGGCCCGAAACAGAGACAATAACCAGGAGTTGTTTCCGGGGGAAGAAGCTAGTGGTGAATTGTGTATTTGTATAACTTGGCTACACATTACCCATGTGGCTGAATGGTACACAGATATAACTGTTAGTAAACAGAGCACGAGTTTGAGTCCACATGGATTCAGAATCTCAGATGAACACAATAATCTTAGGGGCTACCAACGTATTACATGCAGCCATGCTGTGCCTAAGTGCCATTCCGGTCCCGCCAATTACTATCGCATAGCAGACTCGAAGCGCCATGGCATAGCTAGATTGTCATGTATACTTCACCATGCTTTGGCTATGGTATATGGCAATATGCTTATGCTGGCAAATTCAAGCTTCGCTCACAGGCTAAGGTCTTTGCTATAGGTCTTTGCTATAGCAGGCAAAGACCTAAAGAAACCACGCAATGGCTGGTAACCGGGTTCCAAAATCCAGGCTCCCAGCTCGCTCTTTCAAGATAGCATGTCTGGAGTGTATTTTCTGGCTGTGACAAACCTTTCTTTGTTTCATCGGGGGTTTGCTGGCTTATATTGGGGTGTGAACCAGCAGTCTGTAGAGTCTTCCTTCTGGAATGGAGCAATAGTCTGCTTTGATTTTTGTCACGGGTACCCTTGAGGGCAGTGGCTGGTGCCCACCTACCTTCTTCCCCCGAATACAACGAACGGTCATGATAGCTATATTTAGACTGAAAGATACCCCAAATTCAGCTATAATGACCGTACGTTGTATTCGGGGGAAGACTGTAGGGGTGACTGTTGCGAGGCATTGGTTGGTGCCTACCTGCAACTGGGGTTAAGGTGGACTGTCACTCATAGTATCATCTGTTAGTATATTGCCTCCAGTGTTGTCATTTGCCAACTAGTCTGTGTCGAGATCCTGTCAGGTTTTGTCCACGCTTATCTGAAGCCTGTTCGTGTGCCTGGTACATTCCAGGTTCAGATACTGGATTGAACTGATATGCTCGTGTGGTCCAGCTGGTCTGCGCATGGAACATATCATGGCTCCTGCCTCATGGTGGTGCTTCCTCAATGACTCAGCATGATACACTCTGATCTTTTGAATTAGCATTACTCTGCCTTTCCAGTAGTGAACCCGGTGTGGAATGTGGTACTGGTAACGCCAGGTGGCAGAGGCAGAAGGCTGCAGTCTTGGTTGATGGTACATCTGCACTTAACATGTGTCTTGGGTGCTATGTGAAACAACAGAAGCGTGTTGGATTGATTGCCGTGGGCCACAGCTGTATCGTACCCAGTTCCCAACACACTGGTTCAAAAAGGACCCTCAGTGATGAAGACATGAATCATTTCTTTTTATTTTCTATAAAGATAAAGAAGATATGAATTTTTGCTACAGCAGAAGAGTTGAACATCTTGCTTCCCCCCTTGAAAGGCTTGAATTGATTTTTTTCAATTTTTTTGTGCCTTGATTGGATTTGCCTTGTATCACTGGTCAACAGTGGAATATCTGGGTAACAACTACGTTATGCTTCTCCTTCTGCTTCTTTCTTTGGGGGACTAATCAAGGAGGAGAAAAGAGTGTTGGAACGTGACTTGCTGGAGCTGAAAGACATGCAGCTGAGTCTTCAGGCAGACCTTGCCAGTGTAGGTTGCATCTGCACCTTCCCACCACTGAATCTACTAATCGCAATTCTTCAAACCGCTTCAATCCTGCATTGTGTCATACGTTGGGATCAGAGTTCACACATGCGGGGAAGCCGAGGGTCAATCATATGGGCAAGGGTGTGAAGGAAGGCTCAATGGTAGAATATCAGATGCAAAGATCAAGGGAGTCCATGCCCAACACACCCACAAGTTTAGATGCACAGAGATTGGGCAGGAAACATACAAAAAGAAGCCATCCCCGTTCAACAATGCACAGGCGAAGTGAGTTGAAGGAATGAAAACGAGAAGAAGTGGGGAAGAAGAACTCAAGATACGGCAATGCCGATAAAATGCTCCCCTTCTTTCCTTGAACCACCTCCTCTGCCAGAGTCCGCCTGCAAACTGCCTCCAACAATAAAAGACCTCAGATCTCTGTCGGGATACCAACGATCTCAAAAACAAATCACACACACTTGCTCTCAAAGAATAACAAGGGGAAGAAGAAGAAGAGGAGAAAGAAGAAAAATACCCTACGAGATCAGTGCTCTGCGGCAAGCTGGGTAGCTCACTGCAAGAGGGCCAGCGCTGGCCCGATCGGACACGGATTGCGGTCCATTTGAGTGCCGCTGGCGAACGTCAATGTTGCCCGGTCAGCGGGCGACGATGAAGGTGGCCACACCATCATGCATGCGGAAGCTGTCAACAAAGGTCACTGCGCCATCGTGCATGTGGAAGCTGTTGGTGAGCAAGAAACGGCCATCAACACGCACCCGCGCAAGCCATCACGGCCGGGGCAGAATTCAGGCAAGCTGAATTTCAGCAAGCAAGGGTAACAAGCACATAAACCTCAACGTTGGAGCAAGCTGACGAGGACATGAATGAGTATGGAGTCAATTGTGCCACTGCAAGCTGTTGTGCCCAGAGGCGAGGAAAATATAAGCGGCCATAGTCCAGCAGGGGTTGAAGTGGGGACTGGTGGGTTTCAGCGTTGCGTCAGCACCGAGGGAGCAACTGAGAGGAGGCAGGCTGGATAGCAATAATGAAGTTAGTGTAGTGTGGAAGGGCCGAGTAACTGCAGCCGCCAAGAGGGCATCAATCGAAAGAAAGGTTCCATACCATCAACAGACTTCGGCTAGGGGGGAATGAGTGGAAGGGAGAGGCAGAAGTGGTACAGCAAAAGAGCAGGAGAGAGGGTCAAACAGCGAGGTGAATAACCAGGAAGAAGAGAGGTAAGAAGACGGCAGGCGGAACGAATAGAAAACGGGCAGCGGGGTTGCAAAGACAGCACAAACCAAAGGCAATCAAGTCGGGGACGACACAAGAAACAGCTAAGGTGCGTGGCTTTCGTCAGCATGGTACGATACGGGTTAAAATAACTAAGCAAGAAGAATACCTTGGCTTGAGGGTGACTGCGCTGAATAACACCTCCCAGTGTGCGATTACAAAGGGCCTGTCAGTTCGATGATGACATCTCACGGCCGTTGCCCTTTTTTGAAAGGAAAAAAAGATGGTCCAAAAAAGCATCCTGAGGTTCTGCTGAAGATGACCCTCGTAATGTCGCTCTGTGCTGGCACACCTCGGAAGGTACGAAGTACGAATTCCTTCTTCACTTAGATTTCTAAGCAAATAATCCCCATACATACATTGGGTTGTCACAGGCAGGTTATCAGCAGGAAACCAAAAAACGGTACAGCCGCTCGCCCTCGACACACCGCTGGCACTCGCGGCACAGCATATGTGTATTTTTATTTGTTGGCTAGTTTCAAATTTCGACTATCAGACAATGCATTTGTTCTTGCGAAGTGGTAGAAAGGAACATGGCGATGGCAGCAGGTTTCTCTTCACATTTTGTTCCTTTTGTTTTGTTTTTTCTTTTTAAAAGGAGAACCTGACTTGTGGCATGCTGCTTGATTGAGGTTTGTGTTGTTCATTTGCAACTTCGCAGTCATTTTGTTATATGAGAAATTGAGAATTCAGAAAGATGTGTAAAAGTTTTACTCATGGTGGTGGATTGGACTCGTTTGTCCTGTGCATGCTGAAGTGTTCCACAGGAATGTCTGAAGAGTGATTACGAGAGAAAAAGTCTTGCCTTGAAATTTGTACGAGAG